CGTGTCAGCAGCAGAAAAGAGCAAGAGTTCCGTAGCACCTTAAAGACTAACAAAATATGTGGCAGAGCTTACATGAGTCATAAGAACATAAGAGAAGCCAATGTTGGATCAGGCCAATGGCCCATTCCAGTCCAACACTCTGTCACACAGTGGCCAAAAATACCAGGTGCCATCAGGAGGTCTACCAGTGGGGCCAGGACACTAGAAGCCCTCCCACTGTTGCCCCCCCCCGAGCACCAAGAATACAGAGCATCACTTGCCCCAGACTGAGTTCCTATCTATACCTTGTGTCTAATAGCCACTGATGGACCTCTGCTCCATAGGTTTATCTAATTCCCTCTTGAAGCCGTCCATGCTTGTAGCTGCCTCCACCTCCTGTGGCAGTGAATTCCATGTGTTACTCACTCTTTGGCTGAAGAGGTCCTTCTTTTTATCCATTCCAACCCAACTGTTCAGCAATTTCATTGAGTCACTGCTCACTTCTCACTTAATTTGTGGGAGGGTGTGTTCCAGCAGTGATTATCGTGTCTGGGCACACGAATAGCGAAAGGCACATGGAATATTTTGTGGTAGTTTTGTCCTCAGATGACCCTTGTAACCACGAGGACTAGAAGATTTAAAAATACTCTGTCTGGGAAAGGGGGTCTCTAAGGGGATGGACTCTTATAACTGTAGACCAAACCTCATACACAACATTTGTCCGCCCTAAAATATCACAACCAAAGACAGTGGAGGGGACAGGCTCTTAGGTATTTAGTCTGTTTAGGGCTCCGAGAAGCAAAGTCAACACTTTTAATTGTGCTTTAAAAGTCAGCGCAGTTGAATCAACTGTATAATAGGCTCCTGGAGAATCTCTCTGCAGTCAGCAATAGGCAGACTATCAGTCGCCTTCTGTACCAGCAGCAGCTTCATACAGCAAGTCCCATAAGACCCTCCCTCTTATCTGCCCTCCAGTTTATGAAGCACAACTTTAAAGCTTTTGCTGACTCAGACACCCTATTCAGAAATTTGCACAATTCTTCGCTTAGCGCTAACATTTCGCGATTGCATCTGTAATTTCGTTTTCCACACACCCTTGCGTCATGGCTGCCTAGGAAGACCTGAATCCCAAACATTAAGTGATGTTTCCAATGCGTACCTTTTAAAACCTGGAATGCATTAGAGCACTATGTAAAGATATAGTGCAGAATCCGCCCCTTGAGCAGCCCAGTTTTAAACATCTTGCTCCATGCAAGGTCAGAGGGCTGGTTTCAAGATATATGTGCCTTTAGGTCAGAGATGGCCTGTCTTTTCTCAGTGAAGCTCTTGTTAACAGCGTTTTACACTACGAGTGTAAAAGGAGCAATTTGCAAATTGCCGTGAGTCTTTGGAAAACTGCACTTTCATAAATTCTCACAGAAAGCATCCAGGGGAAAAGGTTGCATTTAGCTAGTCTCATCCGATCTCCTAAGCAAAGCAAGGTCGGCCCTGGTTAGGACTTGGATGGGAGACCTCCAAGGAAGCCCAGGGTCGCTACGCGGAGGCAGGCAACAGCAAACCACCTCTGAATGTCTCTCGTCTTGAAAACCCCACCAGGGGTCACCACCATAGGTCAGCTGCGACTTGGCGGCAAAAAGCAAAATGTTTCCGATGTACAGCTAAAATTGTGTGCTTGAATGTATCAGTAAAGGTACAGGGAAATGCAACCGACCAGAGCTCCCGATTGAGTCTCCATGGGGGGGACCGGGCTGTACCCAGAAGTTTTTTCATCAGGCTGCATATTTTTTTGTTAAAGGGGCACCTTAGTACAGTGGAGAGATAAGCTTTTATATATACGGTGGATAGTGGAATAGGCCTTAAGTATTGCTGTTTTTATTTAATGGTTCTTTGCACTCCCTTGTTGGCGATGGTGACTCTTTATTGTTATCTTAAAATTGTAAAAAGGGGGGGCAGCCGCTAGGAGGGGCCACTCAGAGCCAAGATGCAGATGCAGGGCTGAAATGGGATCAGGTGGCCACTGGTAAGATCAATGGATAGCAGTAAGTTAGCACGTAAATGCAAGAGGAGGAGGAGATTGGATTTATACCCCGCCTTTCACTCAGAGTCTCAAAGCGGCTTACAAACTCCTTTCCCTTCTGCTCCCCACAATAAACACCCTGTGAGGTAGGTGAGGCTGAGACAACTGCCCTTGAGAGAACAGCTCTGAAAGAACTTGTGACTGGCCCAAGGTCATCCAGCAGCTGCAAGTGGAGGTGTGGGGAATCAAACCCAGTTCTTCCAGATTAGAGTTTGGTGTAGTGGTTAACTGGTTAACAAAAAGATGTGAGAATGAAACTAGAAGACCACTCATTTCATCAATGAGGGCAGAAAGGCCTCCTCCGTACCCCTCCTGCTCCAGGCAATTGGTGGAGGTGCCTGGCAAATGGGTGGGGGTGCTGGGACCTCCTAGGCCCCACTGTGCGTGCGGGCCTGGTGGGGGATAAGCCTTCACTTGCATCTGTGCTTGCAGTGATGGGAGTTGTCTAGCGTGCTGGCCATATGCAAAGGAGGACAAGTCGATGATATATTAAGGAGGGGGCTGAACTTTGTTGCGTAGGGTAGAGGAAACGTAGCCCTGCTTCTTCTGCACAACTCTGACAAGTAATGAAGCCCTCCCCTCCCCGGAATCAGACCTCCTAAGCAGAGTTACACTTCTCTAGGTCCATTGAAGTCAATGGGCTAAGAAGGGTGTAAGTCTGCTTAGGTCTGCATTTCAGGAAATATATTCTAGTTATTTCACTACAACTAAAAAAAAAGCACTGTTTTCATGTACCCACAGATCAAGCCCTCACATGCACATAGAACCCTTGGTAAGACCTCTTGAACAGATCCTAATAGTTGGACACATTCATATGGGCATAAAGCAGGGTGTACCCAGAAATATTTTGATCAGGGTGCATATTTTTTTTGTTAATGGGGCACCTTAGCACAGTGGAGAGATAAGCTTTTATATATACGGTAGGTAGTGGAATAGGCCTTACGTATTGCTATCTTTATTTAATGGTTCTTTGCACTCCCTTGTTGATTATGGTGACTTTTTATTGTTATTTTAAAATTGTAAAAAAGAGGGTAGGGGGTAGCCATTAGGAGGGCCACTCAGGGCCCAGACACATATGCAGAGCTGAAACTGGATCATGTGGCTTGTAAGATCAATGGATAGCAGCAAATTGGCGTGTAAATGCAAGAGTTAAAAAAAGGTAACAAAAAGATGTGAGAATGAAACTAGAAGACCACTCATTTCATCAATGAGGGCAGAAAGGCCTCCTCCGTACCCCTCCTGCTCCAGGCAATTGGTGGAGGTGCCTGGCAAATGGGTGGGGGTGCTGGGACCTCCTAGGCCCCACTGTGCGTGCGGGCCTGGTGGGGGATAAGCCTTCACTTGCATCTGTGCTTGCAGTGATGGGAGTTGTCTAGCGTGCTGGCCATATGCAAAGGAGGACAAGTCGATGATATATTAAGGAGGGGGCTGAACTTTGTTGCGTAGGGTAGAGGAAACGTAGCCCTGCTTCTTCTGCACAACTCTGACAAGTAATGAAGCCCTCCCCTCCCCGGAATCAGACCTCACTGCTGCCCACATGGCAGTCCCAGCTGCCACTGGAGCTGGTACAGGCATAACCGCCGGAACGCTTTCATTCATTTTGCTGTGCAAGCGCCATCCACTGCACACCTCCAAATGTTCCCTGTTTTCAGCTTGTCTCGAGCCAGCAATATACGAGAGAGAGAGAGAGAGCGCACTGCAGAAGCTGATTTGAGAGAGAATATTTCACACTCGGAGTAATCTGTTTAGTCATCGAAGACTTTCTAACCACAGTCCTCCTTGCGCTTTGAATTTGCCAGCAGGGAAAGGCAATGCGTACCCGCCGGCGTTTCACAGATAAACAGAGACATGGTTGTTTGCAATGCTTTGGGTTTATACGGACGTGCGTGCAAGATCAGGACTGGCTGTGCGCTTGTCTCCAGCCTGAAGGGATCTCCCAAGAGGCAGCAGAGCAACTGCTCTGTATCAGGGACGAATGGCAGAAAATAGGGACAGCCCCAGGAATATATATATCTATCCTGCTGTTCTCTCCAATGGGGACCCAAAACTGCTTACAACGTCATTCTCTCCTCCTCCATTCTATCCAGTGTCAGCGTACCCAAAGGGTGGGAAGTTGCAGGGCCCCCAAGCCTGTGTTGGCAGGGAAGGACCCACAGATGGTGTTCAGCGGAGACCCTTGTCAGGCTGACAGAGCTGGTGTTCCTGTCGGCACATACCATTCAGCCCCACTGGGGAACTGACGTGGGCTCTGTGGGAATGCTCATGAATGGTTGAGGGAAGGAAGGACGCACCAGCAGGCAGGGATGTGGGCAGGCTGGAAGGAAGGCAGGAGTGAGGGTCCTGGTGGGGGGTCAGAGCAGGAGAGGGGGGCCTCCGGCCACCGGCCCTGCCTGTGAGGGAGGCTAGGCTGAGAGGGTGTGCCTGGCCCCGAGACACCCAACAAGCTCCCACGGCAGAGTGGGGATTCGAACTCAGGTCTCCCAGATCCTGATCTGACCGCCACGCTGATTTGGAGCTTTTGACAGTGTCAGGAAAGGCGCTTAGCGAAAGATCGGTGTGAAATAAGCTCGCATCTGTGCGTTTTTAATAAAACAAAAACGCAAAGCTTTGTTTGCCTTTAACGTCCTCCATTATCACGGGTGGGTGAAGATCGTGTGATATCAAAATAATCCTTAAAGGCAAGGGATTTTAATTGCATTTGCAGTAATTAAAACGTTGGGAAATTAGTTAAGATGCGCCGAGCGGGCTGTTGAGAAAGGGCCGTAGGATTCGCCACCACCTTTAGCTCTGGTGTGCCTTTTCCGTCCGTGGCTGACAAGGGCCCTGCATCGACTGAGTTTTAAATGAAAAGTGATCCTTAGCCGTCTCCACTTCCGTGGGATACAGAATCAAGCTCCACTATAGCATTTTAATGTAATCTGTTTTCTGTCTCCCTGTCCTCCAGGTCCCCGGGTTCCGATGGTGAGCGTTTACAGCACATCAGATGTGCCGGTTGGGCCAGACGGGCAGTTTGTGAAAAGTAAGTACAGGCCTTGGGGCCCGGGGGCCCCTTTCCCATTTCAGCAGTGACTTTTGGAAGGAGGAATGAGTCTCATAGCTTGAATGTATTCCGTTTAAATGGCAAAAGAAAAAAAAAATTGAATTTCCAGAGTAATAGAAAAGAGCAAGAGTCCAGTTAGCACCATAAAGACTAAGAAGATTTCCTGCAGGGTCTGGCCTTTCATGAGCCACCGCTCACTTCTTCAGGTATTTTTTGTTAGTCTTTAAGGAGCTGCTGGACTCTTGCTCTTTTCTGCTGCTACAGACAGACTAACATGGCTACCCGTCTTGATCTAATTCCCAGAGCATTTCTTATATTTATATATATATTATATA